AAATATATATATATCTAATATATCTTTTTATAAAAATATCATATGTATGAAAAGATCTTCTCACCTTTTGATATATCCAAAATATTGCTTTGTATCACATCCTTCAATCTGTTTTCTTGCCAATCCGACTTCATGATATCTAATCTTCTTTGTATCTCCTCTACCTTGCTACTTTCAATTTTGTGTTCTTTCATCACACATTCTAAATTGGTTAAAACTTCCGTCAAAGCCTGATCTTTATCAAAATTTAACATTGATGTTGTTGCTATAAAATCTTTATCAATAGGAGTCACAAGAGGTTTATGAGGAGCTGTGGTTATTGTGGAAGACTGTATAATAGGGGGCATGTTTGATGAAGAAGATGGATTAGCTTTTTCTGAAGAAGTCTGTGAAGATAATGGAAATGCCACTCGTTTGTTTAAGACTCTCTTTGTAGGTATCCCAGAAGAACTATGCTGAGATGATAACGCCCATTCTGGTGGATCATTCCATCCAGAATCATGTGAAGATGGTAATGATTTTTGGCTGGAAACTGTATTGTTCGGTGAAGACAAGGAAGAAGCTTGTTCCATTTTTTTATAGATTAAGTATAAACAAACACAATGTGGTGAATCTGAATATTTTACACACAGCTTCCGATCTTATATTTTGGTTATTTCTGTTATCTGCCATTTAATCTTCAAGATATCTGTTTACTTCATTCATCCACTTAAAAATTAGGTTAAAGTTAACACTTGATTTACCACAGATTACCATGAATTTTAACGCATAGACATAGGAATATATAGATGGACTGGCTTTATAGATTCTCTATTTCAAACAAGATGCAAGTTCGCTTATCTATCTATCTTTGTTCATGGCGGCAGAGTCGACGCGGCTGCCAATAATCTCCCGCTAGTTCCAGAAAAATGAGAAGCTGATTGGTTGTCATACCAACTTCTTCCACGCGTAACGCGTCAATGTGTCCTATGTGCAGGAACCCTAAATGCAAAGCTTTGTTCTTTTAACGCATGAGGTCTCTAAAATCAATTAGAAGCTGTCCTTCCCTCCTCTCTCTTCCTCCGTTATTTCTGCCGTCTCTAAAGCATTCCAAAGGTAGGTACTGTTGAAATTGGCTTCCATCTTTTCAAGAAGAGAATTTTGTGTCCTCCGGAAAGAAAAGGTTTGGATAGGATTATTTGCTTGACAATTTTGGTTTTGTGATAGGTATGCATGTTACATTATATGATTGTTATTATAATCTTTAATAGAACAATGAATTATCATACTTTCAAGATCTATATTAGAATATGTTTTAGTTTTTAAAATAGGTTAAAACCACATGGCATTAATTTATATTTGCTCTAATTAAATTCTAGGCAAAATAATAATTTGATACGTCACATGAATATTTTGTGGTTTATTTAATAAAATATAAATGATGTAGAGTGATTAGAATACGAATCATTGACTTACATCTTATTGTAGAACAACTTATGTTAGCTTAATTAAATTATTAAGTAGAAATATGAAATATAGAATTTTTTTGTTATTAAATGTATAATAATGTAATACATTTTATAAATTTATATAATTAAGAGAGAACAAAAAAGTCAAGAGAAAATCAATTTGTAATTAGGATATAAAGTTTTCTTTTTTTATGATAAAAATATAATTTTTATTAAAATTATTTTTATTTTAAGGAAAGCATTGGCTTTTAATTTATAAACTTTTCACTATTTATTCTTACTATCAATTTAAATTTTTACTATAAATCACACATATAATCATATGTACTTATAATTATAAGCTTTAATTATTTAATTCATATTATAATAAACTATAATTTTTATGCTTAAGATCCAGGAAACATTTTAAAAAATTGAAAT